AAAAAAAAAGATACTAAGATTGATTAACTATTAAGTTATTAACTATTAATACTACTCCTTATCGGTTCGGTTTAGTAAAACCGAACCTTTATGGTTCCAAAATTGATACCGAACCGATAATATGTTGGTAACTAATAATCGGTTACAGTTTTAAATGCGTCGGTACAGTTCAGTTTTTTTCTGTCGGTTCAATATGGTTCCTCTTGAGCCTCATCCTAATTACAAATTCCCCTTCAGATTTGTATTTAGCAAAAAATAGTGCAATATGTGAAACACGGCCACATCTACTCTAAAGCAGTCGAGAAACACGGTCACATCTGTATTTAGAGACCCACTATGATTCATATAAGTTCAATAAGAAAATGAGTTTTAACCACGCCTATGATTCATATATGTAGCACTTTGACACATTCAACAATCTCATCTCTTCAGAATATACATAATGTTAATATTTTGTTCACTATACGTGCAACGCCCGACTTTTATTTTGACGAAAGTCAAAAGTCAACTTAAATTTTCAATATTTTTTTTAAACAATTGGCGCTACTCAACATAAATTCATAAATCATCATCTCATAAGTCATACTCGCAAGTATCATAATTCAACGTTCAACCAACGTTTTCATAAATCCCAGAGTTCGGTAAATCGTATATCTTAAATACCCAAAGTCATGAATCGTAAACCCTCAGCTTTCAATGCATAATTAAAACCAATGTTCATAAATAACGACAATATTCCAAGGTTCATAAATAACGATAATATTCTTTTTCAATTTACCATTTTACACTTTTCTTCAACAAAGCACGGTAAACTGCCCACCTTTCAACGTCAGTTAGGATCCTGTTCTTTCTCCTTCCAACATTGCCTATTAAAAAATTGGTAACCAAATTTAACATAGAGAACCAAGCAATGGAACTATGTAACTGGATATTGTTTAAAGTTTGAAAGTGAAGTAAAATAGAGAATTGTAAATTTAATTACTTGACATCAAAGATAGTTTTGACTGCTAGCCACTAGAGTTTAGACGGATACTGCAACAAGGGAAACATAGTTGTAACTTACAATATCATACCAACAGAAACCTAGAATATACTAATCAAAATTTGTATATTTGCATAAGAAAACAAAAATACAACTAACTCTTTAGCACACAAAAGAGGTCACAACAAGACCACTAAAAACTTTCATATATCAATCCCTACATAACATACTGCTATCAAACCATTATCTTTTTTTTTTTCCTTTTTTTTATCAAATTCACTGCAAGCATACATCCACATATTTAAATCTGAAACTTAAACATGAAATCAACACCAAAAACCTCATGGCATAAGCTTTGAAGAAATTCACAATAAACAACTCAAATTAATGTCCCTTTTTCTGTAACTTTATTTCACTGAATAATTTCAACCAAGTAATTTCTGAAGATAGAAAAATATTACTCCTGAGTATATGCTTTAATATAGGTATTAAGGGAAAGGGGAATGATGAAAGTGATTATAAGTCGCAACCATATTGCAACATTACAAATAGAACATACAATTGAAGCTCATTCACAAACTGTGACCGAGGTTTATGGACAAAGACCGATCGTGCTTGCATGTATTGAATAGTATAAGTATTCATATTGTGAACAAAAATCTCTAAACTAGCATGAAACACATAACTAACATAAAAAAAATCCCAATATTTTGCTTGAGAATGCACTACACAGTGAGCAGTCATGTTTAGATATGTGGAGAAAATAAAAACATCAAGCAAGCAGAAAAAGTTGATATCAATAAAAACTACCTTGGCTTGTTTCCCCTGCTTCACCATTTCCGCCGTCAAATTCATTGAAAATCTCTTGTCCACCCAATATTACGTGCCCTTGAAGTACTCCTCCTATGTCTCTATTTCCTTCTCCATCATTGGCTTGTTGGCCAATTATCTCTTCCACAGATGAATCAGACCTCGTTTCGTCATCATCTTCGAATAACTGATTTAAGTCGAGCTCGATAACAGGGTATCCAATTTCCGGGTTGTTGTCAACATTTAGCTCGATTATAATGTTCTCTGAAGATCTCAGTGATGCATCTTCTACGTCGTAAGGAGGTTCATTCAAATCGATCGGAATATTTGAAGCCATTGCAAATCTTTAACATAATGTGTGGTTCAATTAAATTATCAATATCCAAATTTATAGACCTCTTCGTGAATTTTGGCTCCTTGTTGAAACTTTTAAAATGTTGAATGTGAATTTTCATTTTACCTCCTTGTCGAAATTTTAGCTCCAAAATTTGTAAGGCGGAAAAAAATGGAGTTACAGACACTTTGAGGAAGAAATACGCAGAAGACGATGAGTTGCATGGTAACTTTGTGCATATTATATTTTACTTTGATTTATCCATTTGATTGCTAGCACAATCGTATAAAGGGATATTTTGGGTATTATATTAATATGTATGGAAGTTTGTCAGTGGTCAACAAAGGATTCGACACTTATGAAGATAAGTGAATTTCCTATGTGTTTCATAGTTAGTAATTCAAAATCCTTGGCCAAGGCGGTATGAATAGAGATTCATAAATGAATTACTAATGTTGGAGTAGTATACCCAGCGTTCC